CTTACCTAAGTTCTCAATTATACCCATATTTTCTCTCATACCAGCCCCTGGGCATAATGACTTCTCTAAGTTTATTTCCTTCCATCCAAAGTAGTTTTTCTGAAATGTTTTTAAGTGTTAAGGGGAACCTTGAGAGCTGGTCATTCCATTAGCAACTTAAGCTCTTTTATTAGTATTTTTAAACTCCGTTTAATCTTTGGCACAAACTTGGATATTTCCTAATGCAGATGGAAGAGAAAAAAATACCACTAATTCTATAGTTTTTGCTAACAAGGAACAAGAAATCTCCTTTATTCCTAATATGTTCTTTTAGAATATAGCAAAAATGATTCTTTTTAAAAGTATTTTTAATTATAAAGAAATTCACGTATGTTGAGATATGTGTGTGTGGTCTGGTAAATGTCTTAGTATATAAAGTAAAAAATAAACCTCCTCACATCTCCCCCTTCTCTCCCAAATCCACTCTCAAGTTAACGATGTCAATATTTTTACTTAACCTGTAGGTGGATGAAGTTACGACAAAAGAAGTTAAACTGCCAGCAGAAATGGAAGGGAAAAAACAGCTGACCCTTTGCTTTTGTGTCCTGCTGTGCTTAACTATGGAAGGCCTCCAAGTCTTCTGGCCTTAGGTGGCCCAAGCATTCCTACCACCCAGAACAGTGTCCCAGGGGTGACATGACTGGTTGGGAGGGAAACAGGGAAGGAAGGCATGGATGGGTGTGGTATCTTGTTCTGCTTTAAGTGGAATGCCTTTTTTGCAATGTTGGAACATGGTTCCTTTGGTAGAAGTGCATTTTAAAAAAAATTGTGATACTATTTTTATACAGTGAGATTTATTTTATGCCTTACAGAATGGATCATTTTTAGGTTGTGGCATTAAGTTTTACAAAACCTGCCAAACTCTTTTCATCTAAGATAGAAGATGAGCCCAAAGGTTATTTTTGCGCACCTATTCCTAACTAGAGAATCCAGTGACCTTAAATCTCACCTTTCCCACCCATCTACTTGCATTCATCTTTGGCAGACCTGGAGATAAATATAGCTTGATGCCTGCAGTATGATTCTGAATTGAAGAATTCCAGGGAAAGCTCAG